AATTGATGGCCCCACCCGGGTTTCTGAAAATAATGTCTCTCTTATAGATTTACTGTTTACTAATTTTGAAATTGTGAGTGCTGACGTGAGCGATGCTGACATGTAATGAAACCTTCTTGAAAACTGGCGAATTTTAAAAAATATTTGTATTTTACAATAAGTTGTTATGTTCCATTCCTAGGTCAGATCAACGAAAATGTTTCAAAACTTGTAAAACTCATTTTTTTTAACTGCAACTTCTTTAGATACCTGAAAACCCGTGTTGTAATACAGTATTCAATGCGATAAACAGATTTTCCTCACGCAAATCAAGAAAAATTGATTCAACCTACGCAAAGTTTCAATTTATTAAAATTCTACTTGAAGCTGTTCCTCCAAGTATTTTTTTTCACCAGAGTATGCCCACCAGAGTATGACCCTTATTATCGTTATTGAAGTGGGATAGACTTGACAATTGACTTGTGATCGTTGTTTTTTGAGAAGAGTGGAATCGATATCTACCTTGTAACCATTGTTGACAGCGATATTATTCTGTACGCATGAGATGGTTTGTGGACAATTGCAAAATCACGTTAATTATTCAATACAGTGACAGTCAAATTTGTAAAATTTATTGAACTTTCCACCTCCGTTTCAGAGGTGAATTTAGTTGATAAGTGAATGGAATCAACAAATTCGACAAACTTGCCCAACCGCCTATCGTACCAATAAAACAAACAAAGATATCATCTACGTATTTATACCGGTAAAACAAACTAATAACGCAACACAAGAGGTCATTAACCACAGGAAAGAGAAAAAATTGCAAAGGAAAATATGCTGGAAACAAAAACCCAAGCTCAAACATATAACAAAAAGGAAGAAACAAAACGAAACACAACAACGACTGACGAGGACTTCGAACCTTCTCCCAGAAAGAATAGGAGGAACCATTTGAAAAGAAACGTCCCAAATATCTTATATATGTGAGTCAAATGGGGATTTAAGAAATAACTCTAGGATGTGCAAAACAACATCCCACATATGAGTGCACCAAACCAAGAGACACCTGTGAAGTACGTCAACTGCGCAAGTTCCCACCCAGCTAACAGTGTGGAATATATAGTCTATAAAGAAAAACTGACCGACCTTTAACTCAGAAAAGAAGCCAGATGCCCTAAATATATTCCACCAATGCGTGGGGGTGGGTAAACCATTGTTACGATGACTTCCCACAGATTCGAACAAATTAAGTCAGCTGCGATGAAGTCGTTGGCACCCGAGCAGACAGGATAGTAGGAGCAAGCTACTCAGAAATACAGGAAAATGAAGAATCACCACCCATACCTACAACGCCCCCCTCCCTGAGCAATGCGAGCCACCGGGGCATCTTCGCGACGGCGGAGCTAGAACTCTCAGGCTTTCAAGAAACTAAGTTCTATGATTAATATATGAGATATGTTGAGTTCGATTAATGACCTCATACGCTTGCTAGAGGGTACTAGAGGTACTCTCAAAAAATGAAAAGCCTTTGTGGAGTTTCTCCAGAACATCAACAACCACAATTTGTAAAAAGTTGTACACATGCATGTTTTGGAGAGGCGACACAGACGCATTTCCAAAGACGCCTGCCAAAACCCGATGACCATAACTTTAACAATTGGGAATTCTAATCCGTTTTTTGGCATGCGCTTGGTCCGGGAGTATCTGTAGTAAGCCTGAACGTGAGCAATTCAATGTTAATTGAGAAATAAGCCTAAGGCAGGGGATGTGAAAAAGAACCACAGCTATTCGGTAGTCTGCAGATCAAAGTCAAGATCTCACTAACAACGTGAGAGACGCTGTCCACTTTTCCCCTCGCGAGAGCGTGTTGCACTAGTTTCTCCTTCCCTTTTATTAATTCCTTGTAATGTTATGACATTTGATTTGTAGATGCAATGTATATACTGATTGTAAATAAACACATTTTGATTTTGGTTCGAAGCTAGCCTAGGTCAAAAACATGAACGTAATCTTATCTTTGATGTGGTAGAAACTAAAACAAAAGTACAACAAACATTTACAAGTACCGGCAAATCCTACGAAATTAGTAAAAAATATATGAATCTGTGGGCGAAATCATCCCTTCTTTTTTCGTTAATTATTTTAATGGCAAATGCACAATTCAAAACATTGATATTGATAAATTTGGTAATGTAGGAAAGCAAATAGCAACATATTTAAATCTGTTTGATCCGAATTAATATACAGGGCATTTTTTTTGCAAGACATCTGCAACCGTATTAGTTGATGCAAGTTGTGGTATTACTGCGTTGAAACGTCATGGTGGCTGGAAATTCAATTCAGTGGCAAAAGACTACATTGAAAGTTATGATCAGAATAAAATCAGCATTTCCAATACAATATTGAACTCTATAGAGAATAGCAATAATGATACATATCGATAGATATGTAACGCAATACTCGATACAATATGAGCGTAACCTCTCTAAGGCCTGGATCGATTACAAAGGCATTTGATACAATAACGCATGAGCTCATCTTGCATTTCCTCAGATGCCTTGCGGTACCCGACAATTTTAGTGAGATGAATTGAACAACTGATACCACTCTGGCGAACTCGCTTCAACATAGCATCTGGTCAAGCCATAGCCCATGTTACCTCAGGGCTAGTACTAGAGTGCCACCAAGATTTAGCCAAAGCCTTGGTAGATAATAACATTATCCTTAGTAGGTTAAACAGCACGACAGGAGTAAAGATAATCGCATTGTCGACTCTTCAGCCAAGGAAGCGGCTGGACTAAGAGTTTTAGTACCCAGTGGCACCTACGGCCTGATGACTTCGACAATTGCGGAACTAGCCAAACGTCACACCCATGTTCAATCCCTGAAGAGACGGGATGAAATCAAAGGATGGAATCTTGCCAGGATCACCCTGGGCGACCCAGGGAAACTAGCGCCGAAGAAATATCTGGCAATGAACAGGAAAAATCTACGCTTAACAAAAGAATTTCTGACTGGCCACTGTCAACTAAGGAAACTCCTACACAATATGGGGCTAGTGGACACACCTATATGCAGAATGTGTGAACAAGAAGATGAAACTGTCAGGCATGTCCTATGCGAATGTCCGGAGTTATCGTCAATAAGAGAGTCTGTATTCGACGAGTCTTGGCCTACACCTGCCGATATGAAGGAGATGTATCCCAGAGACCTGATCACCTTCCTGGAAAGGACAGGATGGACAACTCTTCGGGAAGATGTACAATGGGTCCTATGCGGTCTGAGTGCTGTGGGCCTACACTCATCCTCCCTACTCTACAGATACAGATACTGAAGCCAGAGTCCAAACAGGGTGGGTCACTTACAGAAGAGGTGTATATTAGGACGATTTCCTGAGTCCCCTTCTCTTCTGCATCTCACTATTGCCATTATCCGTTGCGCTCAGAAATACTCGAGCGGCTCAGAAATACTCGAGCGGCTCAGAAATACTCAAGCGGCTCAGAAATACTCGAGGGTATAACTGTGGTACCCCTAAAACCGGAGGCACAAGGTCACCCATTTGTTTTATATGGATGATTGTAAACGCCATGCCTCTTCATCAGTCCTTGGGGTGGTGGAAGAGTACAAATGTGCAATGGTCCATCTAAAAAGAGAACGATGCTGGGACTACGGAGAGGATGTGCAGGTCGTAGATGGAACCATCCACACCGTTTGAATGCCGGAGAGACGTATACTTACTTCAGTGTGGAACCACGCCACTCACAAGAGATAACAGCAGGGAAGAACTCTCTTCGGGGCAAGTATCAGCCCAAACTTTGACAGATCTGGTCATTAGAACTGTTGGGGTAGAACAAAGTTGCTGCAACAAATATGATTGCCGTTCCAATCTTACTCTTCTCGTTTGGAGTAGTGAAGAGGACTCGAGAGGAGCTGTATCAACTCGACGTAAAGACCCGAAAAATGATGCATCTCTATAGGAGTTTGCATCCCAAATCGTCCGTTCCACGGTTGTACTTCCCCCGACAAAAGGAGGCCGTGGACTTTTGAGTTTGGAGTGTCTACATGACAAAATGGTCTGAATACAGCCTGTAAAGTCGTGAGGAGTTCGGATCCCCTTTTCTGCATGGTCCGTGACCATGAGAGAGCAGGAATTGGAGCATTTCTTTTCTCATCAAACCGAGTTGGAACCCGTTCAGCAAAAAGCTCATATAAAAGCCGCAGAGCCAATGCATGGGGTCTTCTTCAATAACATTGGAGAAATGGCTTATGAAAGCGCCTGACTTTCGCTTTCCTCAGGTTGACTTGACTGAATTCGGAAACTGACGGGTTCATCATAGTTTGCCAGGATGGTGTCTACAACACCTTAGTCTATCGCAGTCACGTGATGGGTATAGAGGTTCCTGACACAAGGTGCAGGGCCTGCCGCGAGGCGCCCGCGACCCTAATGCACTTGTAATCAGCATGTCCAGCCTATGCGATCTTGGCCTATATCTATCGATATAACGCGACCCTAAGAGTGATATACTTCCATCTACGGTATTCTTACGGTAATGACGAGACATCGTTGTTGCCCTACGCTCCGGAGTATATTGAATCCGTTGTAGGAACTATTCGTTTCCCACCCTCAAGCTCATACAAACTAATAGGCCTGATGTAGTCCTTCTCGACCACCAGAACAAGACGATATTTGTCTTAGAGTTTTCAGCTCCTGGTGAAACGAATATCACCCTAAAAGAGGAGGAGAAACGGATAAAATATCGAGTTTTAATTCTTCGAACTCCGCAAACTCAATCCACTCTGTCACTCTACTCTCGAATCTTAAAATCATACCGGCTTGTCGCACTAAGGCAGAAATCTTAGCCGGACAGATGCAGAAGGCTGTCACTGCGCTTGCTCAGGGTACATGATTCTCGAATCCAATGATCATTTACCACACGGTGTGGGGAGTGGTCATTGGTTGATAATGCTGGCGCGCCCTCCCGGATGTATCAGGGCCTCGGGGATGGAGCGTAACCAACGCATACTACGGTTAAATAATAATAATGGTCTTTATTGACTGAAATAGTATATAACATCCAAGAGGCGAAGCAAATGTTAATATTCCTTCCACTTCCAGATCAGTGGGATCTGGAATATACTTTTCAAACTACACAATAACTAATGTTGATATTTTGGAGGAATCCGATCAGTTTTAATTATTATATTACACTATAACTCCCTTATATTTCAATAATTTTCCCAATCTCCGTTGGCATAAATAATGGGATAAAAGGTATAAATAATTGGCGTATGAATTTTAAACTTCGTGGAGCCCTATAAAAAAATTATTTCTTTTGATAAACTCTCTTCAGCGGCAGGGCGCGCATGCCGTAACAGCCGCGCGGAACTCTATTTTCAACGTCAAATTAAAATTATAAATAATGGAGATATAGTTTCGGGAGTCGTGACTTTTTTGTCGGAAATTTCCTCCTCTTCAACGAGCTTTTTGTCAAAATTGCTTAAATATTAATATTTTTTTGAGTTATTAACAAAAAACTAAATAGCATCTTTTTTAAATCTAATTTTGTTAATGACAATTGCAATTTTTTACTTGCACCAAAATCGTTCAAAAGCATTTTTCTAGAGGTGATTCCGAATCAAATGAGCTATCGCTCATTATTTTAGGATCTATGTCTCTATTTTTCATGTTTTTGAACTTGTTGATTAGACTACCGGAGTAATTTAGTAAGGACAACACTGAAATGCCTCCGATGAATCATATATAATATTCATTAACGGATATAACATGGTATTTTATTAATCACTCACCTTCTTCTAGCAATTCAAGGTCGTAAAAACAGTTCACTCTCGTAATATAAACATTACGTTACAGAAATGTACAAATATTTCGTGTTTTGTACAATAAAGTTTGTCCACCAACATGGAAAGGAATGCCTTAGTTTTTGTTTTGTCAGATAATAGTTCAAAACGTTTGAGATTAATTGCTAAGATAAAATTTTTGAAATAATTAAAATATTCTTCAACCGAACTTGTCGAACTGTTCACCTCTTCAGTCGACACAAACTCAGTTACTTGGTGTATTTGCCTTCTGGTCAAACTACTTGTTTATGCAGTAACAGAAATGAGTTGTATTCATATTGATTCATTAAATAATTACGATTTGTTTTTTCTAATCTTGAATTAATTATAAATCAATATTTTTCCAGAAATATGGGTATTACTGATTAAACAAATTTCTTTCTTACCGTGTTCCTCACAATATGAAGAGTGGATTGATGGGATCAATAACACGATTTCGACAAATCAGTTTTATAGTCCAATCGTTGGAGGTAAAATACGACAGTTTTATATCATTTTGCCCAAGAGCACAAAAACTTGAATTTGGTTTCTACTCACTTCTTTACATTGTATCTCAGATCTGTTTTTCCTCATATTCAGAATATTTCACTCCATCCACTAATGTGAAAGTTTGTGAGGATGGATAATTATATGTATGTGAGTATGTTTGTGACTCTTTCACGGCTAAACGACTGAACGGATTTACAATTTACAAAAGTTTTGTGTGATTTTGGTCATAATATAATGATTAAGTAAATCGAAAAAATTATTGCCGCCTGAGAGCTATCTTGCCGTGAACTGCCTCTACCATTGGAGTTACATGCAGATAATGTTCCGTAAGATTGTTTATCTTAAATAATTCTAAATAAAGAGTCCAAGATAGCATATCTCTACCTCTTATGTGGTAGCCACTACACAGAGTGGTCCAACGAAAAGTATGCACCTTGCTTTTCTCCTTTTTTTGTAACTAAACGCAAAAATGCTCTGACAGGTCCATTCTGCTTTTGAGGGGGACACATTTTAGATGTATTTTTCTACCTGTGCCTTCAACCCCCTAGCGAGGGTGAGTAACAACCCTAAAATTTTAAATGGAAAGTTGGGTCGAGTGATATATCATTTGAAAGGGCACAAAATTATCTTTCCAATGATACCTAATTTGTTGTATTTCACTCAACCCAGTACTTTGAAATGTGTAATTGACTTAGTAGAATCCTACTTCAGCAAGTGCTGAAAATGTGACCCATTTGCTCCCATACAATAATACAGATTTTGTTCAAATTCATTTCTAACATTCTGTAGCATATCAGGTGTTATACTTCTGCACTCTGCTGTAATTCGTTGGCGAAGATCTTCTATGATCTCGGGCTGCGTAGAAAAACATTTATTTTTCAAGTGTCCCCAAAGGAAAAAGTCTGAAAGTTACCTGGCAGGCCATTAGATGGGACCTCTCCTTCCAATCCACCGTCCAGGAAACCGATCATCTAAAAACTCTCTACCGGAGCAACATATTGAGGGGTGCTCCATCTTGCTGGAAATGAAGCCGATCATCGTTATGATTTTGGTCATTTTCAATTATTTCTGTTATGAGAGGATCAATTGTATCTTCAAGCATGTTCAGGTAGACCTCACCAGTTAAATATAAACCATTTTTACAGTAAAGTTGAAATAATTTCGAAAGCAACCGAACTGAATCAATGAACGTTTGCCTAAATTCTTTTTGTACACTTATCTGCTTTGTTATTTGAACCAAAAAACGCACGAGAGAAATTGAGGAATGTAGTAGTGATAAAAATGCCGTTTTTTGCGCATTTTCATCAACACCAAAAATATCGAGTAAATGTTCTTGCTTTTTTTATAACTATTCAAGTAAATATAACAACAAATTAGGTATCATTAGAAAGAGAATTTTGTGCCCTTTCAAATGATATATCAATCGACCCCACTTTCCATTTAAAATTTTCGGGTTGTTACTCACCCTCGCTAGGGGGTTGAAGGCACAGGTAGAAATATACATCTAAAATGTGTCCCCCTCAAAAGCAAAATTGACCTGTCTGAGCATTTTTGCGTTGAGTTACAAAAAAAGGAGAAAAGCAAGATGCATAGTTTTCATTGGACCACTCGATATGCAAAATACTGAGCCATAAATACAATTGAATTGTATACGTTTTTACAATGCATATTTCAGAATATCTGCCAAACTCTTATTAAAATTGATACAATTGTCATTTCAAGTATATAATATAAAAAAACTTTGTTTCTTACACTAAATAATTTGGACGAATCGTTTAAAAGCTATCACGATAAGATTACCTTGACGTAACGCAGTAAGCCAGTACGCGTTGCGTCTAGTGTAATACGATGAAGGACGATACGCGGGGTAGAGAGGCGGTCTAAGCAATGAAGCGCCATCGCCGAGAACGCGACCCGAACGCGGGCAGAGGCGTGAGGGCAGACGTCGTTGACGATTGTGTTAGTTTTGCAAAATTTCTTTATAGGTACCTAACATAATTCGATTCTCGAAGCTAATAATTGCAGTTGGCATATTTCTTTAGTTACTGTATTTTTAAAGTAAAAATATAAATTACCAGCTGTTGCCCGCGGCTCTACCCGCGTAGAATTTGATTTGGCACATTGACTTTCGTGATACACCATTTTAAACGAATGGTTACAATATTTTTTCATCAACCAAAAACTTCAGGTTTCCAACTTCAAAACTGACGAAATTCAATAAAATCTTTGAACCCCTATTGTTCCCCCTCAGGGCAGAAATTCCTGATTCCGTTTCTTGATGCTACGCTGTACAAAGAACCTACCTGCATATTTCAAGATTCTAGGTTCAGTAGCTTCGGCTGTACGCATTTATAATATTAGTATGAGTAGGATTAGGAGAATTACCAATGAGTTTCATTCAAATCCTTCCAGTTTTTTTGCTGATGCTATTCAATATTATATAAGTGGGTTCCTATTGATTGACTTAACCTAAAACCTTGAAATATGCAGGTGAGTTCAAGAAAGGGAATCGTGAGTAACGGCCGCCGAAAACGCTCCAAGATATGTACCGAATAGGTACATATTCAGAGATCTAGACCTGAACATACATACATGAGGAAACAGGCAATTATGTGAGAACATTATTACATAAATTAAAATGGGTATAAGCTATGCTTGAAAGTTTGACATATGTCGACCTATATATCGACCTATAAAAAAAGATAAATATGTAGTGAAATGTTTTGTTGAATCTCAAAGGGATTAGGGGACGTTTTCGGTAAGTTCTCATCGCTCCGAAGTCTCATGGATCATCATAAATCAACCAATTCACACAAAATATCTTCAAATTATACGGAGGATTTTGATAATTCAATAGTACTTCATTCGAAATTCAGTAAGTGGAAATATTGTAGACATGCTTATATTTGTATAAAACTATTCCATTGCGGAAAGCGACTACCTACATCTTCAATCAACAGATAAATTTCTTATTCAAAATAATGATAACATCATAAATGTATTTACAATCTTACGAAAGTACTCACCAACGTTTAAAGCTAGTTCTTACCAGAATATGATTCACAGTTGACATTTTCGATCACTATCATTAAAAATTGATTAAAAAACGTTTGAATCTTTTTTTTATTTTCATCAACAATATCTGCCATTTAACCTAAAATTTCCCAAGTGAGTTCGAGGGTTTATTTATAGCCGGACAATTGGCCTTGCCAATTCACGACCTGCACCTAATTGCTACTTATAGAAATTCATGGTTCATGTTGGGCATTCTTTTGTTGTTAAATGATATTAATTCATAGCTTGGTAATAATTATTATAGAAAAACAAATGAAAAATGTCCATGCAACAACATTTATTTTCAATTGATTTTGATCATGGTCAAAAAAATTAAATTGACCTCAAATGATGTACCTGTTTGGTACGATTCAAATTTTTTTCTTACATTATATTGTGTTATGGACTGTTTCGAGGAGAGATACATATGAAAATGAATATTTCTAAATAAAATCGCAAAACATTAATATCTCCCAACGTACCTACATAATAAGTTCTAGTGAATGCCTGTCAGAAAAGTACTACCTACTTTCGCGGCTAATACCAGCACGCTGAATATTGAATTTGTCCCCCTCGGGGCTTTGTTTACGAGATGGAGATGTAACTAACAATCTTTCTCTTAGATGAAGGCTTTATACATGTAGTCGAGCCAATAACTCTACAAAAAACAGGTGTAAACAATGTTTTATTGTGAATGTATGGATACTTTCAAGAGGATGAAGAATGCCGATTGAATTTAAAAGAAAGATCTCAGAGCTTTGTCTTAAAACGTTTTTATGTATTTCGAATGAAAACTGAAATGAAGACAGACTACTCGTATTAAAATTATTGTTCCTATTCACAACACCAAACATCTCCCAGTCTAATTAGACAATTGAAGTAATAGTGGGGAATAGATTAGAAAGTTGAAAGTTAGATAAAAGATTAGTGATAACAGAGGAATTGCACCTATATTTTTTTAAAAAACTGGAAACAGTGCCGTCAGAAATTAACAAAAAGGATGATAAAATGCAGATAGCCCAATTCCTAAATTATTTTGGAGAGGGTGGCATGTCCACCTACAATTCCTTTACTTTTGCGAGTGACGGTGAGAAGAATAAGTTGAAAAATGTAGTTCAAAGTTTTGAAAATCATTTTCTACCGAAAAAAACTTATATTATGAAAGATTCAAGATTTTTTTCGAAGAAACGTCAAGCGGGTGTCACGAAAGAATAGTACGTAACTGACTTGAAAAATAGGTAAAGCCCGTTCCTGTGAATTAAACAAATTGCAAGATAAACTTTTCAAAGATATGATAATACGTGGCTTGCGAATTCAGATTGCTTCATCTGGAACAGATGAAGAATTTTCTTCAACGTCATAAAATAAAGAAAATTTCAAACAGTAAAGAAAAAACATTTGCAACAAAAATGTCTGTCAAAGCAAGTTATTCCTAAAAGACATGTAAAACCTAAGAGACCCGTAACGGTTTGGACAGAAAAAAAGCTAAAAGAGTGTGATGAAGAACAGTATCTATTCACTAGTGATACTAAGTTTTCAGAATGTTTTGATACGCTAGAAAATTCTGAAGATTTTTTTTCGTTTCTCTTTCCAGAGGACCTATGGGATATGATAGTTCTTGAATCCAATCTAAAGTATATGCAAGACAATGTTAACAAGCCAGCCAACATAACTAAACAAGAATTAGAACAACAGTTCATTGGTATTACTGTAAAAAATAGATGGGAGGAGATATAACGTTTCCTCCATTTTAATTATAACTCAAAATTTATTCGTTTTGGCCTCCTTGGACATGATG